TTATTAGATAATGAATTAAATATTATTTATCGAAATAATTAAAGTAATTAAATAATTAAAATTAAATGAATGAAAAGAGAAAAATTAAAATTTAATAAGCGATTTTTAATAAAATTTTATTGTTGAAATAAAATGTTAGGAATTCTAAATTTTTTCCCTTGAAATTGTGGTTCAGTTTTATAAAAAGAAGTACCGCAGCTTATAAGGTATTTCTCCCACTTCCCTAGCGTGTGCCTTCGTGGTGTAGTGGTTCTGCACACTGAGCCGGTATTTCAGAGGTCCGTGGTTCGATTCCCGGCGAAGGCGGTTGCATATTTTTCATCTTTTCTGCTTTTAATTAACCTAACGACTCTACAAGCTCATCTTATCTAGGGCTCCGGTGCGCTCTGGCTAGAATTGTAATTTATCTTAAAAATTAAGAAGTACCGGCGAAATTTAAGCACTGCATATAACATTTATCCTGGCGTGTTTATTTGCTATAGCAAATAATCTTCGATTTTCACGCAAATTTATTAACTAATCATTCAGGTACTCAGTATTGGTAAACATGACACTGAGTTTAAATATATTACTACAATGTAAGTCTCATACACAAAATGAAGATTATGATAAAAAATGATTTAAAATGAGAAATTTTCAATTTAATTGTAAAATAGCAGTAAAATGAAAAATAAATGTAAAATTACATCACAGTTATGTATGAAAACTACATAAATTCATTAAAAATAAAGTTAGTTATTTTATCTGGTTGTAAAGAGTGTTTTCCGCCAAAAAACGTATTAACGTGTATAATTCTGACACAACGTTATAGCACAATTTGCCACTTCCGCCTAGGTATAATAGCAAATTAACAACACAAATCAAATCAAACTGTTGATGCAACGAAAGTAAACAAACGCTAAAAACTGACGCTGTCTCCCACATGACGTCATGCGTATGTGGCATAATTTTCTCCCTGCACTACACATCGCTCTGCCCCCCCCCTGTTTAAATACCCTAAATTGGACCTTTCTAGAAAAAGACATCTTTATACGGCCATTATCAGGCCAATTTTTTCCTATGCATCTCCTGCTTGGACTACAGTTATTACTAAAGATCTTTATTAATTGCAAGTACTACAAAACAAGTTTATGAGGCTTATTACAAACGCACATTTTTATGTCTCAAACAACGCTCTCCACAGAGATCTTAAACTGGATACCATTGAAAAGTACCTCCATAAAATGAACAGAAACGTTTTCGACAAAGCCATATAATGCGACTTTTTACGCCATTTTAAAGTTTTTGACTATCTACCTTTGAGAGAGGACAGTTGCATCAGATTTTACGCGGCGCACCTCACGCGTGACGATAATTTCACTACTTAGTTCGCTTTCACGGATTTTTCTGTATATAGTGTAAATTTGTATAAAGTGTATATATGTTATATTCTATCATTTGTATCTTTTATTTATGTGTTTTGTATTTGTATTATATGTTATACCTTACGATATCTGATTTTAATAATAAAACTTTTCTCAGACTTATTTAATTTTTCTCAGACTTATTTAGAAATGAATGCTTTTACGAATCTCATGTCTTAACCACGCTACTTATCATGATACAACAGTACCAGACACCCACTAGTCTTTAGCCTCTCCATGCGTGCGGCTTTCTTGGTTTTCTTTCTTCTTGTGACGCTGGTCACTCCCCTTTTCCCGTTTCCGACGCTTTCCCACTGCCCGACCAGACTGTTCAACGTCTTGTGCCCTATTGGGATACTTAGTCATAGAGCCGGCAACGTCGCGGGCTCTACACCGACAGCCCGGCATAAGAGTATAAAAAAAAAAAAAAATGCAAATCCCATCTACAAATCAGCCCACTTACCCATCCTTACAATGGACCTTATAAGAAATAGACTAACCCAGTGGGCGGGACGCGCGTCACCGACATGTCGGCAAGAAAGAGTAGGGACGATCTGGTTTACTTTAACACTGAAACCTATGGCGTTTGTATCACATAACTCTTTTTAATTATTAAATGTGATACGTTGTATAGTGATGAGACTATGAAAGCCACAGTTTTTTCCAAATAGGATTTTATATATCTGATTAAAGCACTTTTTACTGCATTACGCGCATTTTTTTTCACGCGTAATTCTTGTACAAACATCATTACTTTGGTAACACGGTAAAAACTCTAAGCACAAAAACAAAATTTATGAACTTAATTTTGCGTAAAAATAAAGTAAAATTAAATAAGATTGATAGCACGCGATGCTTTGAAATAAATAAGGTAAAATTAAACAAAATGTGATAATTTTTTAATTTTAATTTAATGAAAATTTTCAGGCAGTGATTTTCCAAACTATAATAACATTACAAAACGATCATATTTATTTGATTATATGATCATTAAATTATTAACATTAAAGTGGATTAGTTATTTTAATAATTCATAAAATTTGGAGCATAAAATTTTCTCAAAAGAATGAAGGAAAAAAATATAAAATAAAATCTAGAAGTACTCTTTTTTTAAAGTTTTGTGAGTTACCTATATTCATTGAATATCATGTTCTTCGCCCTTAAACCACGTTCATTTGAAAACAGCATATCTTTAGAATTTCCGCACTGGAGATAAAACTGTTATTTTCCGTACAGTCTGAACTCGTTGAGTTAGTTAATCAAAAATTCGTTAACGTTTTACAAAATATGAAATAGATTAAAACAAATTCGAAATTCGGCCGTCCAGATGCCCATGTTCGGGTGGAGGATTACATTATTCAAAATTTGATGGCTCTAGATACTGTCGTTTTTGTCACAGTGCGAGAAACATACATGTATTCATGCAGATTCTTCATTATTTCATTTCTTTACATATAATACAGGGCGATAATATTTGGTAACAACAATTTGCAAGGAGACATGGACATTTGTAGTAAAACAGCGCAAAATGCGGCTTCGAAACTAACAGCCGTTCTAGGCTACCGCCCCTTTGGGCTAATAAATCAAATTAACAGTAAATAAAAAAAGAATCTTACGCAGAAGTAAAAATAAATTGAAAAAAATAATCACTATAAAATACAAGCAAAATTAAATATTACGGTCAAATACAATTTTAATATTAGAATTAAATGTTTAAAATTAATGAATCAAGAGTGTTTATCACTATGATGTATTATGAAATATAATTGAAATAAAATGCCTTTATAGAAATTGTGCTTTAATACTCATCTATAATTTTAAAAAAGCAGCACAACTTAGAAATTTAACAAAACTTTCAAAAATTCGTTTTTAAATATTTTAGTATTTTTTACTTATTTACACCAATAAAAAGCATAAAAACTGCAAGAGAAAATTGCTTGTTTGAAATTTTCTATTAGTTCAGATTTAAAATATTATTTTCTAAAAGAAGTAAATACAAATTTCCTTACAGCATACATTTATTTACATTTAGCGAAAAAAATATCCAGTCCTGAAAACATGCAATAGCTTTATAATTATTTGGAATGTTAATTATGCTTGATAAATATGCTAAATTTTTAAAAATTAATCTCAATTTCAAAAATAAAAATATGCAGAAATCCTAATTTGTGAAATGAGGCGCTACAACCAGCTTTTTCTTGACAATTCTACACGCTGCAATAGGCAACCAATGTTAAATTTCTGCAAGTCGTCCCTACTCCTCCGGATGTGATCAAGGTGACAGTCGGCAACGCCTCAGACGAGGGAGAAAACGCATTTGGGTTAGTCTATTTCTTATAAGGTCCATGGTCCTGACTATTCAACTATTCAACGTTATGTGCCCATTCCAGGATACTTAGTCATAGAGCCGGCAACGTCGCGTGTCTTACAGCGACAGCCCGGCATAAGAAATATAATGAAAAAAAAAATGCAAATCATCTACGCAAAATTTTTAAATGGTGTGTGGTGTGGTGTATTTAATAATGGCAAAGCACACTAGGGCTATCTGCCTAAGGGGAGGGATGCCTTTTGTGGAGGACTTTCTAAGGGAAACTGGCTCGTATACACGTTACACATGGGGAAAACCGCGAAAACGCCCATGCAGCCAGCCCGTTCGGCGGATTCGAACCTCGGACCGAACTACCAGTGTTCAGCGTCTTTACCGCTCGGCCGCTGGTGGGCTCTAATTTTTAAATGAAACTGCATTGCTTATTTTTTTTTTTCAAAGCGGTCGCTTTGGGATAGATTGTATAGTTTTTTTTTTAGTTTGCTCGAACTTGAGAAATTGAAAACGGAACGAGCGAAATCGGAACTAGAATTCGCGAAGTTGCGAGCAGAATCAAAGAGTTAGAACCTCATAGAATATGAGAAAAGAGAAAATGTAGAATCTCTTGACTCTCTTATTAAAAGTATACGCACATTAACAACTAAAATTCCAATTAGACCGAAAGGTTAAGGTTATTTCGTCATCGTTAGAAAGGGCGTTCATTTTAAAAAGTGTTCCAGAGAAATTTAAATCGGAAATTTTTCTTAATTTGTCGGGAGATAAAGTCACATATTTTATTACATATTATAAAGACGACGAATTATGAGATTATCCGAAGATTAAAGAAATAGTGCTAAGAGAATTCGAACCATCCCCCCAAATTTGTTTAGAAAATTTTAGGAAGACACAACGAATGACGAATGAAACTTATGCGCAGTTCGCGTCTAGATTAACCACGAGTTAGGATTATTAATGGAAACTGAGAAAGTTAAATGACTTTGAAACATTAAAACAATTAATGGTTTCTGATAAAATATGTCAAACACTTGATAAAGAGGTTATGTGTTTTATAAATGTAAGGAAATTCTTGGTTTAAAACCTGTAGAATTGGTGAAGGAGATTTATATTGTATATCAACGGGAAAACCTGTAGTGGATAATTCTAGGTTGAGTAATAAAAACAGATATCCTAAAAATATGTCAAAGGTTTTTCTAACTGATGTAAAAAATTCGAAATGTATTTTATCATGCAATGAAATTCATCCTTTGTACAAATGCCCTGTTTATAAAAACATGACAGTTAGAGATAGAGTTGGGCTAGTAAAATCGAAACAGCTATGTTTCAACTGTTTAGGAAATCATAAGGTGATTAATTGCAGCAATAAATTCTCTTGCGGTATTTGCAAAAAGAATCATCACGTGACTCTTCATTTCCCTCGCGAACAAAAAATAAACATAGTTGCGCAGGTGGTGAGTCATGAAAATAAAAATATTCCTTCGAATTTGGACGCTTCGGCTCCATCATTTGAACCTCTGCAAGCTAACACGAGTATTGATAAAAATTTATTATCAGCAACGTGCAATCTCGCGAATGAATTAAAAGCTGTCTTACTCAGCACTTTTGTTTGTTTAATTAAAGATGCATCGGGTAACTTTTTTAAGGTTAGAGGTTTGTTAGATGTCGACGCCAATTCAAATTTTATGAGCAAAAGGTTAGCAGTGACCGCAAAGTGTGCTTCAATTGAAGGGAGAAAAGAAAAGACTAACATTTCTGTTTCAGGAATAAATAATTTGTCTTTGAATATAAAATCTAAAGTTAGTGCAACTATTTTAAAAAGAGACAAGAGTTTCGATTTAAGTTTAAACTTTTTGGTGGTTCCTAAAATAACAGAATATACACCCTCTAGGCCTCTTGAAATTAATGTTTCATCTTTAGATAATATCAATTTAGCAGATGACAATTTTTTTGAGCCAGGCCCAATTGAATTTCTGATAGGTGCAGAACATTTCTATGAGCTTTTAAAACCAAGACAAATTTCCCTTCAGGATTCAAATTTAAGGTTACAAAATAGTGTTTTCGGCTATGTTGTAAGTGGGACTCTTCCTGCTAAAGGGGAAAGTATATTACATTGTGGGGTTATTACAGATAATTTGGAGTTAGAAAGAGCAGTAAGAGAGTTTTGGGAAATCGAAAACATAGAAAGAGAGTCTGAGATTTCTAAAAGTAAAGAAGTAGAAATTTGTGAACAGCTTTTTCTCAGAAACTATTACAGGACTGAAACCGGAAAATATGTAATCAAGATACCGTTTAAGGAAGATCCAATGTGTTTAGGGAATTCGAAACAAATCGCGCTTAAGCGGTTGAACTCGTTGTGAACTCGTTTAAGTAAGGATGAAAATTATTTATTATAGTACTCTGATTTTCTACATGAATACAGTGAACTAGGTCACATAACTGAAGTGAAAGATGAAGATGAGCAAAAGGGGAAATATTATATTCCACACCTTGGTATTTATCGCCCTGAGAAAAGTTCGACACCTTTGAGTGTAGTGTTCAATGCTTCGACTGCAATGTCAAAAGGTAATTCGCGGAATTCAATTCAGTATAATGGTGGTGTAATTCAAGAGGACTTGTTTTCAATTATGGTACGTTTCTGAAAACATATTTATGCTTTTACAGCGGATCTCAGAAGGATGTACCGAATGATATCGATTCATCCTACTCAACGGCAGCTACAGAAAATTTTGTGGAAAGAGTCAATTAATGGTCCAGTTAAAACTTTTGAGTTAAACACGGTCACCTATGTCACAGTAAGTGCACTTTTGTTAGCCATGAGAACATTACGTCAGCTTGCTATAGATGAGTTCACAAATTTTCCATTAGCAGCTGCAGTTCTACAGAGTGACTCTTCGATAGTCATGGCTTTCCTGAAAAAGGAGCCCTGTTGTATGAAAATGTTTGTTGCTAATCGTGTTGCGGTGGTTCAAGAAATAACAGAGGTGCGACAGTGGCATCACCTCCCATCTAAACAGAACCCTTCGGATCTCATATCAAGAGGTGCTGATCCGGTCAAACTTCAGCTGTGTGAACTGTGGTGGTGTGTGGTCCCCTATTTCTTCTTCAACCTGTGATGACTAAGTGCCAAGATGATATCCCTGAGGAGTCCGAAGAACTGTATCTTCGCGACGAATCTTTACCACCAGCAGTAAGTGAAATATGTGCACTTATTAACACTTCTGAGCCATTTAGATGTCATCAATAATTGTTCATCTTACAACAAATTGCTAAGAGTAGTGGCTTCGGTGCAAGAGTTTCTTGCATAACACCAGGCATCCATTGCACGCTACACGCGGAACTTTGATAACCAGTGAAATTTCTTGCTAGTGCGTTATTGTGTAGTGTGAAAAACGTTCAAAGAACTTCATTTGTGACAGAAACCCACTGCTTAGAAAAGAGCGCTCCTATTCCTAATAGTAGTAAACTATCGAATAAGAGTCCATTTTTAGATCATGGTGGAATACTCAAAGTGAGTGGCAGACTGAAAACAGTGACTTAATGAGAAAACATCCTATGATTCTGCCAACTAAACATAATTTTACTGTAATTGTGATTAATCATTTTCATGTTCTTTATTTTCATACAGGTGCTGAAACAACCCTATCACTTATAAGGAGTAAATTTTGAATTGTTTCTGCAAGAAATTCAATTAGAAAAATTATATTTAATTGTATGTTTTGTAGAAAGGTAAATTCTAGGTCTGTGCAGCAACAGATGGCTGATTTACCAGATGCGAGAGTGACCATATCAAGAGTTTTTGCTAAAACAGGACTCGATTTCTGCGGTCCATTTGTGGTAAAAATTTTGTAGGTAGAAGTAAACAGGTAAGAAAATTATTTGTATGTATTTTTTTATGTTTCACTACGAAGGCCTTGCACTTTGAAATTGTAAATGATTTAACAAGAGCAGCATTTATAGCAGCACTTAAACGTTTTATTGCCAGGCGAGGTAAACCCTCAGATATTTTCAGTGATAATGGCAGAAATTTCGTGGGTGCTCATAGAGAATTAAAAGCGATTTTAAAATCTTTATTTAAGGATAAATGTAAGGAAGAAATCAAAGGTTATTTGGCTACTGAAGGCATAAATTTGCATTTTAATCCTCCCTCTACTCCTCACTTTGGAGGTTTATGGGAAGCTAGTGTGAAATCCCTTAAATATCACTTGAAACGTGTGGTGGGAAAAACAATTCTAACTTATAAAGAATTTTTTACTCTAATTGTTCAAATTGAATCTGTACTTAATTCTCACCCTCTTTGTCCCATATCAAATGATCCAAATGATGTAGAGGCATTGACACCTGCTCACTTTCTTATTGGTTCATCTTTAATTGCATTGCCTGAACCTAATTTTACAGAGATTCCTATAAATCGGATAACTAGATGGCAAATGGTTCAGAAATTAAATCAACATTTTTGGAAAAAATGGTCGTCTGAATGTTTAAACAAACTTTTAAATAGACCTAAATGGTATAAAGGAAAAGTAGAAATGAAGGAAGGAGATTTAGTTTTAGTAAAAGATTCGGATAATTACTCTCCTTTAAAGCGGCATTTAGCACGAATTATTAAAATCCATCCAGTTCAAGATAATATTATTCGAGTTGTGATACCTAAAGATAAAAATGGAACCTATAAAAGGCCAATGACAAAAATTGTACGTTTGCCTTTTGTAAGTGAAAAAGTTTCAGTTACTTAAATTTTATTTGTAGTTAATTATCAAGTTTGAGTTTGTGTAATTGTATAACCATCATTATTATTATCTTGGAGTGTTGTGTTTGTATTTTATAACTTGTATTCTAAATTTATTGTTGAATGTAACATTCAAGGCCGGGCTGGATGTTGACGCCAGAGGCGCCATCTGTGAAAAATGTGTAATATTTGTGTTATAAAACGCTGACGCTGATGTTTTTTATAGCGCACCTGGCGGCCCCTTGTATTGAGTGTTTTTGTTGTGTTCTGAGACGCCGCAGAGAGATGTGAACTAACTATGCGGCTTCTTGAGTAATTAATAAATTTTAGTATACAGTCCATTTTTGAGTTTTTGTGTAAAGTGATTTATTTAATTATGAGTTTTACTGAGCTATTGACGGGCCCAGTCACAAATAATATTGAATCTCTAGTCTTACGTTTTATCCATTAGAACGTAATGAAACAGCCTGATCAAAGAAATTATTGCTCACCTTGGATACATCTTCTAGGTATTCATAAATTCCGCCTGATATCACTGCATTCATAAATTCTAATTTCGGTAGAAATGAAGAGTTTCTTCAGAGAAAGTCTGCTTTTAGCCATCACAAAATTAGTGCAGATGTTCTTTCCTCCTTGAAATCGGAGATGGACTTCTTCAGCTTAAGCTTTAGACTCGGGACTGAAAATATGTATAAATGTTATAATATGTTACTACTCGCTGTGTCACTAGAAGTTTTAGTATAAAAATTAAGCTCTCAGCTTTGTTAAGTTCTGCTTTGAATAACTGCATTGGGATCCTTAATTGGCAAACCGTGAAGTATACTTCAGGAAATTTAATAATAGCAGGCTGAAAACCTGTATAGGATGATGCGGACCTGTATAGGGTTCAGTAATCTCTTATTGGTCAGTTTAAATATTTTAAATGATTACCAACCAATGTGTCTATTTGATGAGTTAAAATATGAATAATTAACATGAGTAACGAGAATGCCGTAATTCTAAGCGTTATTAGCTTCTTAAATACTTTATTCTTCTCCTTTAAAATTTACAAAATTCTTTCCAAAATCATTGTTTACCCTTATATATTTTGCCAGTTACTGCTTTTGGAAAAATCGTTTTTCATTAACGTGTTCTTCCTGTTGCCATTTTTCATTTAAGATTTCTATCTGCTCGTGATTATACTCTTGAAAGCTGTTGTGTTAATAATGCAGCTTCACTTAAGTAGAAAGAAATTAATTAAAAAATTTCCCTGTTAAGTATAAACATCAAATTCCTTAATACGTAGTGCTTTATTAGTTGCACAAGGTTTTCGTAACGTAATTTACAGTTAAAATGTTTTTTAAATTTCCGCGATAGTGTAATGTTCGTATTAAAAATATATATTTTAAATCTGTCTATCTATCTATATATATATATATATATAAAGAAGATAACACTGTTATATACAGACGGACATGTATTTTTAGAGTTTCAAATTTCTGAAATGCAAAGATGCCTGAAAACTAATTTTGCTCTCGAATATGTTGCGAGAGTTTTTATTTAACACTAACTGTCTGATCCAGTCCTTGGAATCTTGAGATGAAGTTACATTTGTTACATTTGTTCATATGAGTGTTGTCCCTATATTTTGCAGAATAGTCTCATTTCTAGGTATTTTATTTCTAAATATTCGCTTCTGTCCAATATTTCCTCTTTACCATTTACATCCAGAGTGTCATATAGCTTTTCTTATTTGCTTTACTCACTTTCACGATGGATATTAACTAAATTTCACTGATAGTTTTATTTGAAACGAGAAAGAATACAAATAATGCTTCCAAACTGCAGCATTCGATATAACGACAGGAAGAAATTGGAAAATGTAATAGTACTAATTCGTTCATTTCTAAGATATTTTCTTTACAGAAAAAAAATTACATCAATTTTATACAAAATTACTGCTAGCTATGCCACTTAAACTCTGTTAAATTCTGCAATGAATAACTGCATCGGGATTCTGAATTGGGAAACAGTAAAGTAATCTTCAAGAAAAGTTTCATCTTTAAATTCACTGTCAACTAGGATGTCAAAATTACGGACATAGGTCATATAAAACACATCTTCGGGGTAATCTTTCACAATTAATCCAGTTTCCCTCTTTTAGGTAATTTTATTCAGCTTTATGTTGCATCCCATCATCTCAAAATTTACACAGTTTAATTTGTCTTCCATCAATAAGAAAGGCAAGAACAAGCACGGTGTCAAAATGGCGGAGTGAGACTTCAAAATTAGGCAGCAGTTATAGCCGTTAGTGTCTTTCCTTCTTTCTTTTCGCCATCAACAGAACAGTTGGTTCACTGGGTTAGGTGCTCATTAGCCTTTCAGATCCTAGTGAATGGTATAATTTAAAACTTGAGATTAGTGCGATGTCTTCCAGGAAAACATTTTCTCAATAAAATATCCAAATTGCTAAATTTATTTTAGTTCATGAAACTGGTCAAGTTTACGTATATTTTTAGGGGAATATCCTTAGATAACAATTTGGAATATTCTTATAAATACGCACGATTTGCACTAAAGGGAGAATTGTCGGCACTGAAATTTCCAATCTGAGTTCCGAAGTAAATTGCTGCAACATAAAGAATTATTAATCATACAGTAAAATATACTAGCTGTGATACCAAACATTATAAAACCACCGCGTAACTTCTTAGACTAAGCAGTTCCATGAAAAAATCTAGAAATACACAACAGCGCTATGGCTAGAAGACCCAGACTTTCTAGCAGCCAAATTTTTATACCGTATACGTGCAGGAGAAAACTGGTGTGGAAATAAAAAGGGCAGTATTTTTCTCGTAACGAGTACAGTATTTGCTGCGTTTGCGTTTTCATATGAACGCCTGATTACAAAAATTTCCTGTGTACCCGTCTCCGGGTTTGCGTTGTTGGGTATACACACACAGATCTTGATGAAACTTTTACTTAAAGTACCGTATTGGTTTTGGGTTGAGTTCAGGTATAAAAATAATAAAAGTGTGCAATCATTGAAATAAAAGCAATTCAATTGTATAGATATATAATAAGGCAAAATTTTATTTATTAACTGCAGGAGAAAATTAAATATTTATAATAAAATATCAGGCATGGTGGATGCCGATGTAATTAGCGGCATAAATTCTGGCTTTATTAATATCTATATTATTGCTACGTTTTTGTGCTTAGTTAGCTATTTTTAGTAGAATGGTAAGTAAAATTGTTTTACATTCCGTGGAATGCAGTGCGGAACGAATTTTAAGCTACGCCGAATTTTAAGTTACTAGTAAAATTACAGGAGAACGCGTCTTTAATAAATAGATATCTCGTAATTTATATTTAAACTGAATAATGCAATTGCGTGTTAGATGTAACTGTAATTCTACTCTTTGCCTCCCTGAAATTTGGAGAAATTACGAGAAGCTTCTCGTGACCGATTAAAAAGCTTACAAAAGCCGGAGAAAAACTTATCAGTTCAGGAGTTTACTTAGTGCTGTTATTGTTTCTAGCGAATTCGCGGTGAGATCGGATTAGCTTCCTTTGCGCTATGGATTGCGTTCTATTTAACGTTTTAGTAGTTGAAAATATAACTATTCTGAAATATTGTGATAGTGTATGGATATCTCTGAGGAAAAATTTCAGCATTTTGTTTTATTTCTTGGGATAGGAATAAATTTTATTAATTTTCTATCGACTTGTGCATTCAATCTATTACGAACTTGAATACTACAGATGTAGTGTTGCTTCGATCACATTGATTTATTGTCCCGTCATCTAGTTTTTGATAAAGTGCAGCGGCAATATTAAGTCGCCCTGTAATCAAAATGAAAAATGACTGATTTTCTCTTTGTGAAATTCGATATGACAAAGTGTAAATAAACGCTAAGAAAGGAAAACAAATTGAAACTGATATGCAAATAATTTAACAATGTAATCTAATAAGAGAAAGATTCTGTTTGTCCTTCGTTAGTGCGGCGCGTAAGCTAATAGACTCAGGGCTACGACATTTGGTATATGGGTGCATCTAGACAAGAGCCAGTGCACGTCGAAGCGATTTTTTTCAAAACTCGAATCAGTTCTTTTTTTTTTTTTTTTTTTAATTTACCTTTTCGATTTTATGGCATCATTTTTAATATTTTCATTCTTTTAGAACTTTACTTTTGGCAACAGTTTATCATTCCACTGCAAACCGGACTGCTCACTGTTGAAAATCAGACAGCAGTCCACATTTACAAATCGAAAGTACTAACATTTATCTCAAGCTTGTCAACAAAGACGTCTTCTCGCCGACGACGATAGAGCTGCAGAGGTTATAGCTAAGCTTCTCTAGGAATTACAGCTGAGAAGTCAATGAACTCAGAGTATTTGAACGTGTATTTTAACTTGAATTACAGGCATTCCTCTACTTAAACGTAAAATGGATGTTCTTGAGATAAAACGTAAAAATGCTACTGCTCAGAATTCCAATATTGATACTGATGGTTTTAAATTAGACACTGAAACGTAAAAACAGCTTAAAATTCCTACTATACCTAAATCTATTGAAATTACTTGTTAATTTCATGTTATGAGTAATGAAAATATTAATAATAGTAATAATGCAACCCCAGAGATTCAGGTTGTACAGCAGCAGCTGCTGAAGAATAACCCACCCCGGCTATTCTTACGATTTTAGTTAATCTTGAAACCCTGGTTCGCATGAGGAATTTTTGAAACAGCTGGCAGAGAGTAATGATGCTGAGTTTATTGGGAAATTAAAAGGAGAATTCATAAACGTTCTGCTTCATAATGAAAATCATCATCCTGTACTTAGTGTTTATTCAAAAAAACGTGATGTTGAACATTTTGGTTTAAATATGAAATATGCTAGATTTATGATGGTTGAAATTCGTCGAATAGCCACCGCTTTAGAAAACATTATTTCTGCAAGTAATTGGGAGAATAGTAACTTCTCACACCACGTAGTTT